ACCTCAATTTCTAGCACCAAGTTTGATAGTGAGTTGGGTTTTCCGTGCTGATGGGCTTGTAGGGCCGCCGCCCTCGCTTAAGGAGGCTCTTACCCGGCTGCTCTAATCAATGTAGCAACCGAAAAATTATCATTAATAATTGGTTATAAAATTATCGGAAAATTAAATAAAAAAATAAATGATGATTTTTACATAGTGTAAGAGTAAGTTATATGTTCTATTAGTGTAAATATTAAAATTTATACAATAAGTCAGTTGACTACGTCAGTGCTAAAGAGCAGAATAATAACATGCGCGTGTTACAACGTCGTCTGTAGCAGTCTGCAGCTAAAGTGAGGTGTAGCCGTGTAGCATTGTAGCGATTGATGCGATAAAGAGATGGAGCCAAAAGAAAGATATAACGTGAGAATGTTGAGAGGGAAAATGAAAGGAAAATTCTCGAAAATAAAGGTTGCAATATGTCAATGCGCGAGAGAATAATTATGCCGCTACCATACAGCGCAGAGAAAAGACATGTGCAAGTGAGGTTAGAAACTTCGCGCGATTTTGACACTCGGAAGATCATTCGCCTAACCTGTCGTACGTCATATTAAAACTACAATATCTTTTATAACTCATCGTCAACACCAAGTTTTCTTCTTATCATTAGAAAGATTATTATTTTAACTACAATTCCTTAGTTTTTTGTTTACCTGGCTCGCAAACTTGCCAAGAAAATACATCACTTCCGATAAAAATTTTAGTGTTTACCATATGCCCTGTGTTAAAAATGCGAATTTCAATACTGATATTTTTTAAATTTTTATCGTCAACCTATGCTAAAGTTTTGGGCATCGGTTCGTTGTGGTTCACTTTACAACATAATTTAATTTCATAAAGATCTGTCGTTTTATGATCGAGGTAAGAGCCTCCTTAATACCCCCTCAGGACTCCTCGCCGGACGTCCACGCACGCTCGAGATCGGCCCAACAGTGACGATCGTGGCGGGCCCGCTTCGCGGCCTCTTATAATTTTGAGGCGCTTCGCCGCGCCGGCGGATGGCGCCACCCGGTCTAATCGGGCTGCCCGATCGCTTCCTCCTGTAACTAATAGCTAGACGAAAAACATGATAACTCGACGACAAGCAAGTACGCGCGCCGTATAAAGGTTCAAGAGGGGGCACGCGTCCGGTCCAAGGCACGGGCACCCGGTGCAACGTCACAATGTTTATTGAAAGTTTATAAGAAGTTTGAAGGTGTTTTAAGCAGCAATTCGCAGCGCTGCTTAAAACACCTCGTGAACATTTTTAACATTCGAAAAACACCACACAACACTTTCCGAACGCGTATTAAACATAGCCGTGAACATCCCATAAACAATTCCATGTTTAAATTTACATCTCATAAACAATTTAATAAATGTTTTAAAGCTCAAATGAAACATCTACTCAACACTTAAGCAAATTTCTTATAAACTTTCAATAAACATATTATTTTCGCCAGGGAAGCGACAACTGAAAACTAGATTAAACGAACACAAAAACAATATCAGAACAGATCCATCTAGACATTCTGTGATTTCCAAACACATTACGATATATAATCGTTATACTTGTGATTGGGAGAGTACAGTAATACTCGATTCAGAGCCGAATTATTATAAGAGACTCTGTTTGGCGTACCGCCATGTAAATAGCTGTATATACACATTAGTAATAAGTCGATTAGTTATTTTCTTTTCTTGTAAATTTTGCGCGAAACGTCGGCGGATTGCGAGCAGCAAAGCGTGCAACTCACCTATTGGTGCTGCCATCGCCCATCCGCCGACGGCATCCACTCCCCCCGAAAAGGGAATAACTACTCGCCAGCGGCACATCTTGCAGGACCGCGGACACTCACAGTCAAACCATCCGACCGGACGGGCTCACAGCCAAACCATCCGACCGGACGGGCTCAC